TATATATTTATTAAATAATATATTAAGTATTTTTTTTATTAACCTGGATATCCAACCTGTTATGCGAGGCCGACTAATTTCAGAGAGACCACCTGTTCTGCAGATAGCCCGGAGTCATCCGCATTTGAACCTTGGCCACAAGGAGGTTTTTATTCCTCCTTGGATTTGAACCTGGGACCTCCTGGTACTTTTGACCTTTGAAGTCAAGCTCAAACCAATCAGGTACCACCTTTGTAGTTTAATATATCAAGTATTATGTACTGTTTATTTATATAAAATATCTTATAATTTATGTTACAATTTATTATTATTATAAACACACAGTTATGTAAAATTTCATGTTTGAACTTAACAAAACCAACAATAAACACGTTCTAATTTATATTTATATTATACTTGACAAAAACTTTTAAAAACCATTTTTTATACTTGAAGTAGTATTGTTTATTGATGCATATTACTTAAAATTCAATATTACAAGTAAATTGTGCATAAGTAAAACTTATTAAAATTTCATGTTTGAATTCGTATAACTAACTACGGATAAACATAATTAAATATAAGATAAACATCTCATTTTAAATATAAAAAATTTAAAATAAAATTAGGTTAATCATTAAGTTCTAACTAAATACTTAATTTATATTTTTGTAAAAATTTATGTTATTAAACATAAATTAAATTATAATAAAAAATGGATTAAATAAATTTCAAACAAATGAGAAATTTTTTATATTCAGTTTGGTACTAACATCAATATATTTTTTCAAAATTTTATCATATTTTCATATTTATATTTTATTTAAAAATATTAAAATATTATCGCTTTCTCAAAATCACATAAACCGTATTATAACATAAATTAAGATATATTACGCTTCATTATACAACTACCCTTCTAATATTACATAATAAGTGTTAAGCCCTACTCATACAACATTAATACTCCATAATTTTTCATACTTCTACTTTTTTAACTAAAAAATTACATTACTTTTCCATCATCTAGTACAATAAATTTTACTATATCTAACAAAAAAAAAAAGGTAGTGTTTGATTGGTTTGAGCTTGAACTCCAAAGATTAAAAGCGCATTAAGGGTACAAGTTCAAATCCAAAGAGAAACAAAAATATTTTTATGGCCACGAAAGTTCAAATGCACTGATTCCAAACTACCCATAAAGCAAAGGGTCGTTCTAGGATTAATCGACTCGCATAACAGGTTAAATATCCAGGTTAATAATAAATATTAATATCCCGTTGAATTGTACGATATATATATATATATATATATATAAAAGGGGGGTGCTAATGGCACCCCTTATAGGGGGGTGTTGAATGCTTTGGAAATTGTGATAGTTTAAAAATCAGAAAACATCAAATCAATATTAAAAATATATTATATTTAATTATTATTAGTATTTAATATATATATATATATATATAT